GTATTATCCTCTTAACACATAAGCTGATCTTTGTGCTGCTACCATGGCTAAAAGCTGTGAGTACAAGTTAGAAAGAGAGAGCTGTTCATAGACAGGAAGACTCAAGAGTATAGGGGGAAAATCATCATCTTCCTGTCATCTTGTTATTTTTAGCAGTAGGAGAAGAGATGGAAGAGAATCATTGCTTGTTTTAGCAATCGAGAGGTGCTTTAAAACCACATTCTTGCAGAAAACGAGGTTTCTGAATGGGATCTGTGGGCTTACATAGGAGCTTAGGTGGTAGATGGAGTCATTAGGCCTTTTATCTGGGGCTTTCTCCCTAGCTGTAGTGGTGGCTTCTTCTGCCTGATGTCCTTAGTCACGAGGCTGAGTAGAAGAGCTGGCAACTTTTTCAAACTCTCCTTGTTCAAACAAGCACAGGGAATCTCCCTGTGGAGGGCCAGGCACAAACCTGTAGGCATGTTTGACTCACATTCTGACTTGTGCTGTGACAGGAAGGTTGGGACTGGAAGGGAAGGTCCCACGGAGACAGGGCAGTGCCGTTCTGAGCCAGCTTCCCTTTCATTGCTAGGCTTGCGGGTCTGCCTGGAGGTTCATGCTCAGGGTGCCTGTGGCAAGAGAAGGATTAAGTCCTGGGCACCTCAGTAAAGGGGCTCCAGGACCACCAGAGACCTGCAGTTCCCCCAACTTGTTTCCTGGAGGGCTCTCAAGGGCTCACTGTGCATGTGTGAACATGAGCTTATGGTGCGAAAAGTAAGGGGTTGTACACCAGGGAAACTTAAAGGAAGTGGATTGGTCCCAGGCTTTTGTTGACTCTAGATCTGGACCATCCATAGCAGCAGGACCGACATGGGATCTAAGGACTGGTGATTTTTTTCTTTCACTTTCTCTCTTTTCCCTCTTTATTCTCTCCTGTTGTTATCCTGGCAAATGTGGCTGTCATGTTCAGCCCCTTACTCTGTACTGAAGTTTGCTGCAAGAGTTGGGAGCTTGTTAAAGTTCACTGTAGAAGTGAAGGGCTGGTTAGCTAACACTGCCTCGATGAAATCGTGGGCTGGTTGTTGGGGTTAAGGCAGCTATAATACAGCATAGGGGTTCTCTGACACTGGACTGGTGTCTTTGTTCAGCCCAAGGAGAATTAATAATGGAGAGCCCGCCTGCTTCCGGGTCGTGACAGCTCCTCCTCCTCACTTGAAAAGCAGGGGAGGTTTGCTTACACCTCTCAAGAATGGCTTTACTGTGAAGTCTCGCTGGGACCGTATTGATCCTTTTGTGAAAGAAAGTCAGGACTGACCTCGTCTTTCTTCCCCATAGTGAACTTTGCTTTCCTTGGATCAGTGGAATTGATTTTATTGCTTTTCTTGCCCTGTGGCAGCACCGATCTTCCCTTGCAGCTCTCCTCTTGGCTCCCACATTTTCTACTTTCTATTTCTTTGTGGGGACAGAAGCCTTAGTAATTACATCAGAACTAATTAATAAAGCTCATTCATATGCCTTACTGTCACAGCAGTACTTTGACACGCCCTTTTTGTGATACATCTTTCAATTTATAAAAGGAATTTCATTACATATATATGAATACATATTGTATAATATGGAAGGAATTTACACAAGGGAAGCATCTTTCTAATTATAGGTCAAAACTAAGTGTTTGAGAGCTTTGGCTAATACAAACTGTCACCTACTTTGGCCTTTATTAGCTACTTGTCTTCTCAGGGCGTGCTGTTGTGAGTTACAAGGTGTCTGCATCTGAGGCTTGGCTTTGGTTAGGGGTGCTGGGAGAGCAATATGCTGCGCCCCTTCACTGAGGCTCTCCAGCAGTAAGGATTACATGATAATCTTCTTCCTGTAGGTCTTGCCCACAGAAAGAAATTGCTGAGGCATAAATGCTGTGAGAATGGAATTGGAAGTAGAGATTGGAGATGAGTAAAAATGGTTAGCAGTTTTGTTTCATGATGAATTATCAAGGATTATGAGCACCTGTCATTTGAAGTACTTTAACATTGTGCTGAATAGCTCAACAGTAACACATTCACTTGGTTATTTAAACATACTGCAGGAGCAAGAGAAAAGCTGATTTTTAAAGGTGTGTGGTGACTCTCCTTTGGCCTTGCAGGTAGAGCAAAGAGACACATCACATACTCTGTAGCAGGAGAAATTCTGAAGCTGGACTTTTTCAGTCACTTCTGATATTGCCTCCTTACAGTAGCAGTGCATGAGGTTTGAAAACTGGAAGCTTTGGATGAGTTGAGCAAGTAGAGAGTAATCAAATCTCAGCAGGGCGTATCAGCTGGGTATCTTGTGTGCAAATCCAATTTCTGTGTATTGCATCAGCGAGGAAAGATGCAAATCTTGCACTATTACTCTTAAGAATGTGAGTTATTTTTATTCAGAGTCCTTGCTGGGATTGGCAAGCCTTGTCTTCCAGCATTTCTAGTTGAGCGTCTGAAAAACCAGTTCTGCCTGAAGGCTGCACCGTTCTTGTGCCTGCCATCTGGTGGCCAGAGACCACAGCTAAGGGCACGGCCACAAGAACCCAGCTGAGGCTCTGGCTTAAGGATAATGGAGCAAAAAGCAGATCCTTTTCTCACCGAGCCATGTGTCAGATGGAGATTGGTTTTTGCATGGTCTCCCTGTGGGATGAATAAGTTCTGTTACCGTCTTTCTTCTCTTTCCTAGGATATGATGGAGCTCCTGGAGGAAGATCTCACCTGTCCCATTTGCTGTAGCCTGTTTGATGATCCTCGGGTCCTGCCCTGTTCACACAACTTCTGCAGAAAGTGTCTGGAAGGAATTCTGGAGGGTAACGTGCGTAATGTGCTTTGGAGGCCGTCCCCTTTCAAGTGCCCCACGTGCAGGAAGGAAACTCCCGTTACTGGAGTCAACAGCTTGCAGGTCAACTATTCCCTGAAAGGTATCGTGGAAAAGTATAACAAAATCAAAGTGACACCGAAAATGCCTGTGTGCAAAGTGCACAGCGGGCAACCCCTCAACATTTTTTGCCGGACAGACATGCAGCTGATCTGTGGGGTTTGTGCCACCCGCGGTGACCACACAAAGCATGTTTTCTGTTCTATTGAAGAAGCTTATTCCCAGGAGAAGAGGGCTTTCGAAACCCTCTTTCAGGGCTTTGAGACTTGGCGTTGTGGAGATGCCCTCTCACGGCTGGATACCTTAGAAACCAGTAAGAGGAAAGCTCTGCAGATGCTGACCAAAGATTCCGACAAAGTGAAGGAGTTCTTTGAGAAGCTGCAGCACACGCTGGAGCAGAAGCGAAACGAGATCCTCTCTGACTTTGAGACCATGAAGCTTGCGGTGATGCAGGCCTACGACCCAGAAATCAACAAGCTGAACACAATCCTGCAAGAGCAGCGGATGGCTTTCAACATTGCAGAGGCCTTCAAGGATGTGTCTGAACCCATTATATTTCTGCAACAGATGCAGGAGTTCAGGGAAAAAATCAAGGTGCTCAAAGAAACCCCTTTACCTTGTTCCACTGTGGACATCAGCCCTACGATGAAGAACTTTGATACCAGCCAGTGGAATGGAATAAAACTGGTTGATGTGGACAAACTTTCCTTGCCTCAGGAAAACAACACTTTTAAATTCAAGATTCCCTCAGTCTTTTCACGCAGATTTATAGTGAATTGTCTCATTTTCTTGCTTATTCTTGCTGTCACCAGAATGTCCTTTGTGGAGTCTGTCGTTGACGATCTCCAGTGCTGGAAATCTCAATTCTTTACAATTAGCTTGTCCTATTTGGCAGATACCGTGGAGATAGCAGATCATGCAGTCTTTTACTGGGAACAGATGACAGATGGAGCTTCACTTTTAAGAGAAAAGTGTAAAAACTATACGTTGGTTGTACTGGATAATGTTGCACAGTTTGTGTGCAAATATAAACTGTTGTGAAGTCCCTGCTGAAACACAGCAGCTAAGAGAGATTTGGTGAGGAAAACATAGAACTTCTTAAAATTAATTGGTCTTTTAAGACTTCCAGTGAAAACATTCAAAGATTCGAAATGTTTCCAAAACATTCATGCCGCTCACATAACTTGAGGACTGATAAACCAGAAGATCAAGTGGAGCTTTGAAAAACACTTTGTTTCTGGATTCTTCTTTCAGTGGTGATTATGAGAATATTGCTCACTGTAAATAATTTTTCTTACCAAAACATAGGGCCGAAAGGTGTACTTAGTTTAATGTTCATGTAATTGTAGAGTAAGATAAAAGATCATAGTTTAAAACCTTGCTGAGGATTGCCCTTCCACTGCAAAATACAGCATGCATCATTCACAGTCTGGAACCACTTTCTCTCCAATGATGTTACTTCTCGCTGAAATATATATATATATATTTGTTTGGTTTTTTTTTGTATAACCAAATCTTGTAATTATCCTGTGCATTCAGATTACATGTTCTATACAAAACTACATCTTAAGGGCAATTCTGGAGGTAATGAGAAATCAGTTGAGGCCAATAAGAACAAGCTGCAGCATAGTATATACTTTGCAAATAGTACATACTTTGCAGTTTACTTTTCCAGCATCGAATTGTTGGGGTAACTGAGCTGTTTTGTTAGATCCTTGTTTCCCTGAAGCCACACTTTCAAAAAGTGACCTTAATGCAAACAGTTTACTGCAGTGAGAGGCACATGTGGGTCTGCCACAGAAAGGCAGCTTGGGCTTCAGCCCTGCAGAGACGGTAGGAAGAGCATTTTCTCTCCTGTCCCTCTCTGTCTCTCCAGGTTGTAATTCCAAAAGCTGGGAAAATGATGGGATGATTCCTTGAACAGGTCGTGTAATGTAACAGGTGTATGGATGTTGTTGGTGTTTGAAGTGCATTAGGCGTTGGAACTTACATAGGTTCTTCTGCTGTTACTGTATTTTTGTGTACCTTTTTTCAGGAGTTAATTGAATTTTCTGAGTATATTGACTTGGCCTTAGGATAACAGTGATTTAAGTGAACCTTAAGCTTGAGCTCTCTGAAGTGTCCTTCTGTAAGAGCTAATGATGCTGAAATGTGTTGCTGGAAGCACATCTAACCTCATTTTGCAGTGGTTGTATGAACAGCAGTGTATAGAGTGAAAACATTTATTTCACATTTCCAGAAAACAAACATAACATGTGCCATACTTTGGGAATATTCATTGGCCTCTTACAAGGTTTGATAAGTTGTGATGGTCGACTCAGTGTATTCCAGTAGCCCTTGCAGGCTGTTCATTTCAAAAACTAAACATTAAATTCCAAGAATCAAAGTTTCCAAGCAACCAAACCCTGCAAACAAAACTATTGTACATGATATTTATGTCTTTGTTGCCTGGGAATCCTGTTGCTGCTGCACACCTCACTCCAAACACTTGCTGAAAGCACTCAGTGGTTCTTGCAGCTGCAGATGCCTTGCAGTTTGGGAAAGATCAAGTCACAAGCATGTAGATGAGAGTGGCTGAGGTGGCGATGAGCAGTCGAGATGTGGTCGTTCTGAGCGTGGGAGGGGTGAGATTTGTAACCTGGGCTTCTACCTTGCAGCAGTTCCCTGAGTCCAGGCTGGCACGGATGCTGAACGATGATGACCGGGAATTTAAACTGGTGAATGGAGAGTTTTTTGTGGACAGAGATGGAGCTTTGTTTAGTCACATCATGGACTTCTTGAGGACTCTCCAGGTCTCCTTACCATCTGATTTCTCAGACTATCAGAGGCTGCAGAGAGAAGCAGAATTTTATGGGCTCTACCCTCTGGCTGACCTTCTGAGCCAGGAACACTTGCTGAAGCCAAGGCTGGAGATCTTGGAAGTGCGTTTTTGTCGCCAAGAAATGCAGGCCTTTTTCAGAATCTTTGGTTCCTGCAGTACCACTGTTGAGGCACTAGCTGAGCAGATCACTGTGTTTACAGGGCAGCAGTCAGGACAGAGCTGGAACAGCCCTTTTCCTTCTCAGAAGCCACTCGTTCCACTCCCTTTGGAAAGACCCTCTCATCATGACGTGTGTTTTCAGTGTGGTACTGACTACTCTGCTGGTGACCAGTTTGTGGCCAGGTACTCTCCCTAGTGTTACTTCTTATTATGGAGATGTCCTTGTGACTTCTAGTTCATGAAGTCCAAGCTCATTTTAAAGAAACTATCAGACTATCTGAGAGAAAAGAAATATGTTTCCTTCTTGCTGCTAGTTCAATGTTATCATTTTCTAGTTCTGAAATATAAAGCTAAATTTCTGTTACAGTGATTTGCCTGTTCTACAGCTTTCTAAAGTGTTGTTCTTGACGTTTATGAGTTCTGTTGGGTCTTTCTGCCCTTTCCTCCTCACTTGTTTTAGAGCTTCACAGCATCAATGACCTTCTAGAGGACATGAAAAACACAGAGTAAAACTGAGCGAAGGAAACAAAATAGAGGAGTGAAGTACTGGGGGGAAGCCTAAAATCTCCACTAGTTCATGGTCCAAAAGGCTTTCATATGGAAAAGAGGGAAAAGAAAATGGCTAAACAGGGTTAAGAGCACCAGTGGAACTAAGATAGCATTTCAGGGACTGGAAAGCTTTTGTAGAGCCTCTTACTGGGGGGAGGGAGAATGGGTAGATTATTAACTATGTGTTACACAGTGGGTTTTCTTTGAATTCAGAGCCAGGTTCTGTTTTTATTAAGATTACTGTATGTCAGTAATTTCTGCGATAGCAGGATCGTATTCTAATGACAACTTACATTTTTAAAACAAACTTTTACTGCATGTCTCTATTGTATGGAGACATGTTCTTACTGTATAAGAAAATGTAACCTAATTTGTCCTCTGTGGCTGTTAGAACATCTGGACTTTTATGGAAATTTCACTGAAATATTTCCAAAAGGGTTATTCTATCTGAGTATATGAATCAGCACAACAGTCTTTTGATTATGTTAAAAAATGTAATACAGTTTAGCTTTCTTCTGGCTTTCTTTGGCTAAGCAGGTAGACGAAAACTACTCTGCATTTGCAAAGCAACATGTATTTATGTGCCAAACCTGAACTTTATAATCTATTACTAATTTTAGTGGACTAACGATTGAGTAGGTTATGGCAACTTAAATAGTGGGAAAAATAATCCTGATTCTTTCCTTTATTTCTTCAAACCTGGTAAAAATTTTCCTCTGCAGAACAATAGAAAAGCTTATATTGAGTAATGAAACAGATCAAGTTTGATTATGTTGCCTGCTGAATTTCTGTCTTCATAATCTTTGTGGTGACATGGACTCTTCTGCCTTTTTTTTGTGCTTTCCATGAATGTTTGGTGTACTTTCCTGTAAACTGTGGAACAGTTTCACCCCTGTCAGCTTATATATTTTGTAATAGTATTTTTACCTGACTTCTGTCCCTGGACATGTCTGGATAGATTCTTAAATTGTACTTTCTATGAAGTAAAATCATTTGAGGCAATCTGAAAATGATTTTCATACTTGTTACCACAAGACCTGCTGTACAAGGTATCTTTGCAATAAATGTCACTGTTTGTAGAGAGATGCTGTGTACTGGAAAGTGATGCTGTTGGGGTGAACATGACTTCACTGTCCATCATTTGCTCCTACCTGCAAAACTGTTACAGCATTATATAGAACCTGCTGTTCCCCTCTCATCCATTAGGTGAAACGAGATGGAGGGTGTCACACCTGTTCCTTAAGAAAGTAAGTTTTGGGGTATGGTGGTGGTGAAAGAGAAATGTTTCTTCCCCAACATGTAACTGGATGAACTGAG